GGGGAGTCCCCAGCGGTCAGCGCCAACGTGGCCGCAAGGATTCACGAACCAACACCATGCACTCATCGCAATCGCGGCCGCACGGGTTTGGCAAGCCAAGCTGTGGGTGGGTGGGTGTGACGATTGCGCGAGCAGTTCCAGGCTTTCCCAAATTAGTTGCATTCGCCTTCCTAAAAAACATAATAGGATCTACCCTTCCCCCCCGGCGTTATCACTCCCCCTTTCGGGTATGTAAATCTTATACGATTCTGACCACATGTCCATCCTAAATATGAATGTGCACTATCCCTGGGGGCCCGGTGTCCCCCCCTTGAGGTTCCATTGTCAAAAACACTATGCGGTGACATTTTTGGTTCTTACATAACACTTTTCACTAATCCTTTTGCAAAAAAGAGACGAAGTGCACACGCGCGCGTCGTCGCGCGCGCATGCCGAAATCGTTCAAAAACTCCCGGTGCCAGAAAGATTTTGCAATCGAGTTTCCAAAAAACAAACACAGGGTTTCGCAACACGGATTTGCTAAAAAAACTTCCGCGCGAGCTCGTGCGGAATTCAAAGAAAACCATAGTATTTTTTTTTATTAATATTTTCAAGATGTTCGCAAAGTGCTATTAAACGGGCTTCGCGCGCGTATGTCGAAATCTGTCGAACGCCCTTGCGCGTGTGTCGCGAGAATCCTGTGCAAAAAATGGGACGAGGTGCGGACGCGCGCGTCGTCGCGCGCGTACGCCGAAAACTTTCAAAACCCATCGGTTTCGGAAGGATTTCAAAATCGTGTGTCCAAAAAAACCAACAAAAACCGAAGGTTTCGCAACACGGATTTTCAACAAAAGCGTGCGCGCGCGCGCTCTTGCGTCGTCGTCGTCGTCGTCGTCGTCGTCGTCGTCGCCGTCCTACCTCCTCCCGCGTCGTCGCCGTCGTCGTCGCCTACGTCGTCTTCTGTCTTTCCTCGTGTTCGTCGTCGTCGTCCTCTTTGGCGTCGTGGTCGTTTCCGTCGTCGTTGTTGCCGTGGTCGTCCTTTCTCCGCCTCCCTCGTCGTCGTCGTCGTCGTCCGTCGTCGGCGTCTCGTCGTCGTCCCTCCTATTTCGTCGCCGTCGTCGTCGTCGCCGTTGTCGTCGTCGTCTTCCCTCCTCCCTCGTCGTTGTCGTCGTCGGCACCGCCGTCCTTCCTCCTTCTTCGTCGTTCGCGTCGTCGCCGTCCTCCCTCCTCCCTCGTCGTTGTCGTCGTTGTCGTCGTTGTCGCCGTCGTCGTCCTTCCTCCTCCCTCGTCGTCGTCTTCGTTGGCGACGTCGTCGTCGTCTTCGTCGTCGTCGGCGTCGGCGTCGTTGTCGTCGTCGAAGTCGTCGGAGACGTCGTCGGTGTCGTCGTAGTCGCCGTCGTCGTCGTCGTCGTCGTCGGCGTCGTTGACGTCGTCGTCGTCGTCGTCGGTGTCGTCGTTGTCGTCGTCGAAGTCGTTCGAGACGTCGTCGGTATCGTCGTAGTCGGTGTTGGCGGCGCCGTCGTCGTCGTTGTCGCTGTCGTCGTCGGCGTCGGTGTCGTGGCCAAGTGTCATGTGGTACGTACCGTCACGGTCTTGTCTTAAGAGGTCTTGCGACTAAGTTGCGGGTGGGAGGATGGGATGTTTGCACGAGCAGTGGAGAGGACAGCTTCAAGACGGTCAAAGATTAATTGCACCCCATAGCTTGCGCCACGTAGCTTGCACCACATAGCTTGCACCCCACATATTGCCCCGCATAGGTGGCACCACATAGGTCTCACCACATAGCTTGCACGACGTAGTACCGTATTGTTTTGAACATGATTTGTCCTTCACCATTCGTTTCTAAGTGCCAAAATGTTTGATCCGATAATTGATGGAGGTGTCTACGACGTAAATGTTTCTCTTGAGCACGATTTGTCCACCATGCTCAGGCGTTTTGCACTGTTAGCAACGTGTGGTCGTAAAGTCGAACGGGATCCCAAGCGAGAACCCCTAAATGTTCCAAGCTTCCTGGGGTTTCCGGTCTTTGTTTCGAAACCGCGGAGCCGCGCGTCCCCCCTCGCCCCCCTCGTCCTCCTCGTCCTCTTCGCCTCCCTGCTGTTACTTCCTCTCTGCATGCGCACTCCGGCGCACCCTGACAAGTTGCGCGCCTCAACTTTGAGCTCCACCTGCGGCGGCCTCGGTCGGCGCGAGTGCATGACTCCCCCAGCCCATTGCGGTGCACCTATCACGCGCTTCGTGCCTCCACCGGAAGCTCCACCTATTCATTGGCCTCAGTGGACCAGCGCGCATGCCACTCCCCGCCCATTCCTGCACCCCTTTCGCGCGGATCGCGGCTCTTTCTTTGGAGACGCAAAGGGGCGCGCCCCGAAACTCATTCCAAACGAAATCGAGGTTTTCTTGATGGTTTCAGTGTGGGGGCGCGACCTGCCGCGCGGTGGTTTCCTGGCGCATCTCAGAGCGTGCTGACCCATAGTGTGAGGCTTTCGCTCTGCACGTTGCGCATGTCATCGCGTGCCAATCGTGCGTGGCTGGAGCTACTTCGCAGACGCTTTCTGGCAAGGCCCTTCGAGGGCCCTCTCAGGGCCCGCGGGGCCGCCGAGTGCCGAGAGCTCCCGGCAGCCATTGTCGGCAGTTGACAAAAGCCGTGCCGCCGAAATGGCCGCCGAAAGAGCCGTCGAAAGGGCCGCCAAAATTCCCCCCGAAGGGGCCGCCGAAAGAGCCGTCGAAATCGCTGCCGGAATTGCGGCCGAAGTTGCCGCCAAAACTGCCGCCGAAATCGTCGCCGAAATTGCCGCCAAAATCGCCGCCGAAATGGCCGCCGAAATTTCCGCCGAAATTCTTGATTGTGCCCCCGAAAAGAGGCCGATATTGAATTTGGCTGTGACTCAATGTCTGTGTCCGCGGCGCCATCGTGCTTAATAAGACAATGATTTCGCTTGGGACAGGGCAGTGACAATTTCGGCGGTTGAATTTCGGCGGCTGGATTTCGGCGGAGTTTGCGGTTATTTCGGCGGCAATTTCGGCGGCAAGTTCGGCGGCAAGTTCGGCGGCAAGTTCGGCGGCAATTTCGGCGGCAATTTCGGCGGCGATTTCGGCGGCGATTTCGGCGGCAATTTCGGCGGCGATTTCGCCGACGATTTCTGCGTAGCCGTCGGCGTCCCTCCTGGCGGCCCTTTCAAGGACCATTTCGCCGGTTTTGCTTTTGACAGCTGTCGACAAATGCTGCTGGGAGCACGCAGCACTCGGCTGTGGCAAAGATTCGATATACGGCGACGCCGGCTGACGTGCCCTGAGCGCGATGATGATTGTAACAGTTGTTTGCTTGTGGTCTTGGCGGTGATGATGGCGACGGCCGGTCGGGGGGATCTGCCGGCGGGCCTGCGCGCGTAGCGTTGCACGTTTCAAAAGTTCTACCAGGGTTACCATCCACAGCCCAGGTGGGCAAGCATGCATGCTGCAATGGGCCCACTTTGGCAACCCGCTCACGTGGATCGTGCCCTCGCAGCGAGCTCCACCTGCGGCCTCATTGGGCGCGTTCGTGGGAGGGGGCCTCCATCATGCGCGGCGCCCCCTCGGGCAGATCGGGCTCCGCAGGCAGTGCAGCGCGCCTGTGCGCGCTTGCTCCGCAGCCCCTTGTCCACGCGGCGACCCCATGGCGGACAAACGGAACGATCGAAAGGGCTACGCCGAGAACTGCTTGATCTGATGTTCCATGGCTGAGGCCCTCCCGCGCCGCCCTGTCCAGGGCCAGACCCCCGGACTCGGTGGCAGCGCGCTCGCCCTTGTACACGCGGCTTTGCGGCGTACCCAAGCTGTTGCAAGGTCGTAGCGTGGCTGGGCCGCCGCGGCCGCGGGGGCGTCCACGACGTTGTAGAGGCCATGCTTGAGCCCTCCTGGGAACCCCGTGGGACCGTCCTCGAGGCCCGGGGAGCCGTCCAGAGCGTCCCAATCGTTGGGGATCGTGATTTGGTTCAATGACTTTTGTTCTTCTGGTTTTTTCGGTGTCGAGAGCGTCGACCAAGGCCAGAAGGCGTTCGATGGTCTCATGGACGAGGAGGAGCAGTACGACTGAGACTCCCTTGATCCAGGACTGAGGAGCCCCTTGGGGGTCTCGGGCCGTAGGGGTATGTTCTCCCTGCCAGCAAGCCAGCGAGGGCTGGGCGTCGGCGACTTTTTTCTTGCGGCCGCGAGATTTCGAATCATTTACTCCTCGTGGAACGACAGGGGGGCATTCGCTGAGACGCCTCAGGTGTGCGGCCGCCCGCACGCACCCGAACATATTTTGCCATCGAATGCGCCAGCGGGCACGACGTGTCAAGCTGTAGGCTATCATGTAGGATTGCGGAGACTTGCCAAGGTTGCGAAGACGAGGGAACAAAAGACGAGGGGTTTGCCCCATTGGCCCCCCTCCCCTGAATGTGAGCCCCCATGCAGTCGGCAAATCCAAGATGTTCTCATGACATTCAAGAAACCTTCCAGGGGGCCTCCCGAACGCGACCCTAACAGGCCACCGAGAGGCCGTCTAAGAGATCCCCACCGAGCGCGTTCCACTACTCGCAAAGTGCCTACTCGCAACCGTCCGGGGGAAAACATTTTCTGCCTCGATGTAATATACCGTAACTATTCCGAGGCGGATCGAGGCGATTTGCGAGTATTTATTTCGCGAGAAGTGGAACGCGCTTGTCTGGATCCCCAAGACCCCTCCCGAGATGCCGCGCAGGATGCCGCCAGGAGCAAAGGGACCCCAGCAGGCGCCCAGGAGGTCCCCAGGGAACTCTAGGCCTAATAGATGGGGTCCGAGTCAAGGGGTTCGGAGGATCGCGCCGCATCGCCGACGCATCACCGATGCGGCGCGATGCGGAGTTCGATTTTCTCCACGTCGATGTCGCCGATGCATCTTCGATGCCGCGGCGAGATCCTCCGACCCCATTCGACTCCGACCCGTTCTAGGAGGCTTCTAGAGACACTCCAGAGGCCCAGAGCTGCCCCCCGCCGCTCTCCGCGCCCTTCCTGCCCAGGCGCAGCAGGTCTGCGCCGGCAAGTACCGCAGCAAGACTGGGGCCTTCGTGAAGGTGGTGTACGCGCAGCAGGTGCGCCGTGCGGGCGCGCGGACCTCCCCAGACCTCTCGCAGGTCTCGGCCTCGGGGTGCCTCGGAGGTCCCATGGCTCTGACGATCTCGGGCGGCCGAACGCTCCGGAACAGGTAGTGATGCCGCTTTGCTTCCTTTACGCCTCTTTGGGGCCTCCTGTGAGGCCCTCGTCGCCACGGTTGTATTCGCTTCGGAATTCTGGTCAGAACGCGCCCCAGGAGAGGTCTGGGTTGTAGCTGTATCGGTATTTGGTGTTATAATGTTCCAACCTACTTTAGCCGTGATCACCAGAAAGAATTTCGAGCACCAGACAAGTCCGCCAAAACTCGAGGGTTTTCATGTAACGGGCCTTGGGAGTTGGGAGACACTGCTTCGACACTCTTTCGACACTCTTTCGACACTTTTCCGGGTGCTCGAAATTATTTCTTGGATATGGTCCTGAAGTACGATAGGAGCAACATAACTTTGGTGGTTTCTCCACACAGAAGGGTTAGAGAGACGGGGGGGGTGAGCGGGTAGACTTCAGTCGGGCGTCCAAGAGGAGACAGGACTATCTAGGCCTCCCAGATGGCGTCGGAGTAGATGGGGTCGGATGATCGCGCCACATCGCCGATGCATCGGCGATGCGGCTCGATGCGGGGCCCGATTTTCTTCGCGCTGGCGTCGCCGATGCATCGGCGACGTCGCCGATGCATCGACGATGCATCGCCGATGTATCGGCGATGCGGCGCGATCCTCCGACCCCATCTCCTCGGATCCCATCTGGGAGGCCTGTGGACTACCCATGACTCCGACGATCTGTTTTTTTTCCATTTGGGCCGAGGGCGGTCCACGGGGTGCCGGATCGTGTCTCGGGCAGCCGCTGGAAGCCCCAGCAATGGCCCGCAGGCCAGGCCTGCGGCGTCGTAGCAAGAAGCACGAGGGCCGTGTTTTGTCCTTGACCTTGGCAGGGTTTCCATTTTGACTCAGGAGTTTTTATTGTCAAAAGGAGTCCACGAATCATGGTACAATTTTGCAGGAGATTGGGGAGCGTTTGGATCTGATTTCGCACAGAAGAAGGATGACATGCGAGGGCTGCGGCCCACGCGCCTTGCCCCGTGCGGGTCGGCCGTCATGGCTGGACACGGCGCCCCTCTCCCTCCTCTCTCTCTGGTCCGATGTCGATATCGATTTTGTCTGGTCCGATCCGATTCGATTCGGATATCCTGGCGATCCGATGCGGCCTGGTGCTGGGGTGGCGGTGTTGTGCTCGTGCATCCTAGCAGCGGTTTGATCCGACGCGATTTCGATTCTGTGCCGGTGCATCCCAGTTTGACGCACATTCCGACTCGGTCCGCTTTCCCGATCCAATGCCGACCGATCCTTGCTCGGGCCTTCGAGACTAATTTCGGGCCCCAGGACTCGGAAGACGATCCAGGACGAGGAGCTGGGCGATGGGAAGGGTTCGAGCGTTCGGGGGCCCGCGGCTTGGGGAATTCCGTGCGCCCGAGGCCTGGGCCTGCCTCTGGGGACGCTCAGTTTTGCTGCTCTTTTCAGCAGGCCTGATGGCGATGGTCCCTGCTTTTGTGCTGCGCACCGCGCACGTGGCTCCTCCCGCGCTCATGTCCCCGCTCCTCCCTTCCCTTTCCGCCCTCCCTGCTCTGCGATCAGCCACGTGCCCCGTGCCATCGTCGTCGCCATCGTCACCACAGCTTGTGGCCATCGTCGCGGCGCGGCCAGGGCAATGCACTGCAGCTGTGTGCGCACGGTCCAGCCCAGCGTTGTGCTGATAGCGTGCGAGTGCGGTATTGTATGGGACCATCTTACATCAAGGGAGAATCGGATAAAGGGGGGTCCAAATGCACCGTTTACGACCACGTAGGAAGGGTAACATCTGAAGGAGATGTTGCTCCATCATCAAGAGTGGTAAAGATATGGTTTGACTATGCATCTTTCGAATATCAATATCTGTGACTGCGTGCGATACGCAGTCGCGGGTGGGTAGGTTGGTGCCGCGCAAGAGCGCGAAACGATACACGATGCATGATAAAGTGGGGCCCGTTCGTGATGAAGTCGCATGACTTTGCAATGTAAGGAATGTTCTTGTACATTCGCCGATGCGCTTCAGGCCCGCCACCCAAACATTCAAGTGCTCGCCGAACAGAGCCGCCGAATCCTTCCCCTCCCTCGGCTGTTCTTTTGTGGTGGGGGGGAGAGGAGGGGAGGCACAACGAGGAAGCAAAGGGAGGGAGGGGGAAAACAAGCATGTAGGACCAGCACGGGCAGGCAGGACGAGGAAACTGACAATAATGTCGAGTAAGACACGGAAGCGTTTCGGGTGGATGGCCTTCGAGGTGCGGGGTTTGCCCGCGTCGTTTTCTCCAGTGGGGGGCACGAAGCGTGCTTCAGGTATATTATGTTATGGTTTGCAATGGTTTGTTATGGTATGTTATGTTCTATATTGAGATGACATGTTATGCTATGGTATGCTATGTTATGTTATGGTCCGTTATTCGCCACTCAGAGCTTGCCTCTGTAGGGGTCCTAGCGGATTCATATGGTTCGGTGAGGTATGGCGCCGATTTCGGCGGCACGCCCGGGTGCCCGGATGCTCTGGTGCCCAGGTGCCCTGGTGCCCAGGTGCCCGTGTGCCCGGGTGCCCGGTAGGCCTAGCCCTATGGCCCTAAAGCGCTTTAGCCCTTTAGCCCTATCGCCCTACAGTTATAGCCCTAATAGCCCTATAGCCCTATAGCCCATACTTCAATAGCTTTATATCCTTATAGCCTTATATCCCTATATGCCCTATAGCCCTGTAGCCCTACAGCCCTATAGCACTATACCCCTGAGCCTCATAGCCCTATAGCCCTGTAGCCCAATTGCCCTATGTCCCAAAATATTAGTTTGTGTTGTTTTCTCCGGTCTCATTATTCCCCAAACAGAGTTTACCTTTGTAGTGGTCCTAGCGGATTCATGTTGTGCCCAAGTGCCCTACAACCCTATATCCCTATAGCCTTATAGCCCTATAGCTCTATAGCCCTACAGCCTTATAGCCCTGTACCCCTATAGCCCAATAGCCCTATAGACCTGTAGCCCAATAGGCCTATAGGCCTATAGGCCTATAGGCCTATAGCCTCTTAGCCTTATAGCCTTATATCCCTTTAGCCCTATCGCCATATAGCCCTGTAGATCTATACCCCTATGACCCTATAGCTATAGCCCTGTAGATCTATACCCCTATGACCCTATAGCTCTATTGCCCTACAACCCTATAGCCCTGTAGCCCTATAGCCCTATAGGCCTATAGCCCCATAGCCGCCCATAGCTGTATATCCCTATAGCCCTATAGCCTTATGGTCCTACAGCCCCATAGCCCCATAGCCCTATATACTCAGATCACTATGGCCCTATAGTCCTATAGCGCCATAGCCCTGTAGCCCTATAGTCCTGTAGCCCTATAGCCCTACAGCCCTCTAGCCCTATGACCCTATAGTCCTATAGCTCTATAGCCCTCTAGATCCATAGCCCTATGGCCGTAGAGCCCCATAGCCCTATAGCACCCCAGCCCCGTCGCCCTATAGCCCCATAGTCCCATAGCCATATAGCCCCTATAGCCCTAACAAAGTGTGGATATGTTTTTTTCGCTTGTATTATATGTTATGATATGGTATGATATGCTATGTTCCCCAATCAGAGCTTGCCTCTGTAGGTGCCCTAGCGGATTCATATGGTTCGGTGAGGTGAGCAACCGATTTCCGCGGCCCGCCCGGGTGCCCGGGTGCCTTATAGCCCTATAGCCCCATAGCCCTGCAGCCCTTTAGCCCTATAGCCCTATAAGCCCTATGGCCCCATCGGCCCATAGCCCTATTGCCCAATAGTCCTATATCCCGACTGCTTTCTTTCCCTACCGCCCTACAGTCCTACAGTCCCATAGCCCTATAGCTCTATAGCCCTATAGCTCTATATGCCCATAGCCCTATAGCCCTATAGCCCTATAGCCCTATAACCCTATAGCCATAGGGTCCTATAGCCCTATAGCTCCATAGCCCTATAGCCCTATAGCCCTAGGGTGATGCTCATGACGACGACCGAGACGGTGCTGATTTTGATGACGCTGATGATGATGCTGATGATGCTGCTGATGATGATAGTGGTGGTGGGGGTAGTGATGATGATGCTGATGCTGATGGTGATGGTGATGATGATGGTGGTGTTGATCGTGGTGGTGGTGGTGGTCTTGGTGGTGGTGGCGGTGGTTGCGGCAGCGTTGTTGGTGGTGGTGGTGATGATGATGATGGTGGTGGTGGTGGTGGGTGGTGGTGGTGGTAATGGTGATGGTGATGGTGATGGTGATTGTGATGGTGGTGGTGATGATGATTATGACGATGGTGGTGGTGGTGGTGTTGGTAGTGGCAGCGGCGGTGGTGGTGGTGATGATGATGGATGTATGGAGATGATGGTGGTGATGATGATGATGCTGATGATGATGACGATGATGATCCTTCTGGTGGTGGTGGTGGTCTTGGTGGTGGTGGTGATGATGCTGATGGTGATGCGGCTGCTGCTGATGATTATGATGAGGATGATGGTGGTGGTGATGGTGGTGGTGATGATGATGATAGCGGTGGTGGTGGGTGGTGTTGGGTGGTGGGTGGTGGTGGTGAGTGGTGGTGGGTGGTGGTGGGTGGTGGTGGGTGGTGGTGGTGTGGTGGGGGTGGTGGTTGGTTGGGCGGTGGGTGTGGTGGGTGGTGGTGGGTGGTGGTTGGTGGTGGTTGGTGGTGGGTTGTGGTGGTGGGTGGTGGTGGGTGGTTGTGGGTAGTGGGGGGGGGGTGGTGGTGGTGGTGGTGGTGGGTGGTGGTGGTGGTGGTGGTGGTGGTGGGTGGTGGTGGTGGTGGTGGTGGTGGTGGTGGTGGGGTGGTGGTGGTGTGGTGGTGGTGGTGGTGGGTGTGTGGTGTGTGGGGTGTGTGTGGTGGTGGTGGTGGGTATGGTGGGTGGTGGTGGTGGTTGGTGGTGGTGGGTGGTGGGTGGTGAGTAGTGGTTGGTGGGTAGTGGGTGGTTATTGTTGTTGTTGTTGGTGGTGGGTGGTGTGGTGGTGGTGGTGGTGGTGGTGGTGGTGGTAAAGGTGGTGGCGGTGGTGGCGGTGGTGGCGGTGGTGGTGGTGGTGGTGGTAAAGGTGGTGCGTGGTGGGTGGTGGGTGGTGGGTGGTGGGTGGTGGTGGTGGTGGTGGGTGGTGTGTGGTGGGTGGTGGTGGTGGTGGTGGTGGTGATGGTGGTGGTGTAATTCTGTGGATGTCTCGAGCGAGGCGCTGATTTTTGCACCCCAGGGGGGCGCCAGGGGGTATGTCACTCCTCAGGTCGCGCCCAAACGGCTGGGATTTCTCGAGCGGTTTGCTTTTCGCACCCCAAAGGGGGAGCCGCCAGGGAGTACCTCACTCCTCCGTTCGCGCCACAATGGCGGGGATGCCTCGAGCGGTTTGCTTTATCTGCCCCCAACATCCTCCGCTTTCGGAGCAGATGTTGAGGATGTCTCGGACGAGGCGCTGACTTTCGCACTCCAGGGGGGCCAGATCTTGAGGATGTCTCCAGCAGTTTGTTTCTTTCGCTGGCCAGGCTCGCGGGCACGGATCATCCCCAGGATACCACCTGAGGCTCCAGCAGCCTCCAGTCGGCCCCAGGGGGCCACTGGAGGTCCCAGGAGGCATCAGGAGGCCACAGGAGGCCACAGGAGCCCCTTGAAAGCCACAGAGGGCCCCAGCAGGCCCCAAAGGGTTCCAGGAGGCCCCAGGAAACACCAGGAGGCTCCAAGAGGCCGCAGGAGGCAACATGAAGCAACGTCCTGTGGCCTCCTTGGGCCTCCGGTGGTTTCCTATGGCCTCCTGGGGCATCCTGGAGCCTCCTGAGCCTTCTGGAGCTTCCTGGGGCCTCCTGGAGCCTCTTGGGGTATCCTGTGGCCTATTGAGTCCTCCTGTGGCCTCCTGGTGCCTCCTGGGACCTCCTGTTGCCCCCTGGGGCCTCCTGAAGCCTGGTGGAGCCTCTTGTGGCATCCTGGTGAGGATCCGTGCCCACGAGTCTGGCCACCAAAACAAGCAAACAGATCGAGACATCCTCAAATGGCGTCCCCGCTTGGGGGTGACAACGAGCGCCTCGCTCGAGACATCCTCAGCATCTGCTCCGAAAGCGGAGGATGTTGGGGCACCGAAACAGGCAAACCGCTCGAGACATCCCTGCCATGTTGGCGCGAACGGAGGCCGTGAGAGACCCCTGGCGGCTTTCCCCCAGGAGTGCGAAAACAAGCAAACCGCCAGAGCCATCCTCAGACTCTGTTCCGAAAGCGAAGGATGTTGAGGCACCAGGTTAGGCAAACCGCCTGAGACATCCCCGCAATCTGAGCGCGAACGGAGGCCGTGCAATATCCCTGGTACCCCCCCCTAGGAGTCCAAAAACCAGCAAACCGCTCATCATCATCATCATCATCATCAGCATCATCATCATCATCATCATCATCATCATCATCATCATCATCATCATCATCATCATCATCATCAGCATCATTATCATCATCATCATCATCATCATCATCATCATCATCATCATCATCATCATTATCATTATCATTATCATTATCATTATCATCATCATCGTCATCGTCATCGTCATCGTCATCGTCATCATCATCACCATCATCATCATCAGCATCAGCATCAGCATCAGCATCGTCATCATCATCATCATCATCATCATCATCACAATCAGCATCATCAGCATCATCATCATCCTTCTATCCCCGTCATTAGCATCATACCCAATCATAATCATCATCACCATTATCATTACCACCACCATTACCATTGTCATCATCATCTGTCGCCGTTTTGGCTCAGGGTTCTAACTTGCCCTGGAGCTAGAGCGTTGTCGCAGCCGACAGGGAAGCCCAGGGCCCCCGTGCCTGCAGGATCGACTTTCACGACCCCTGCGGGAGCGCGTGCGCCGCAGGACCTTTTTCTCGAGCCGCGGCACTTTGCTCGCGGCATTCGTTCCGATGGCCTCCATTGATCAAAAGATGGACAGGCTACTGGCAAACATGGGCGAGATGCTAACCAGGGTCAACAGTCATAACAAGGCAATGGAGCAGGTCACATCCGACATGGCATCCCTCAATAACGACGTAAGCCAGAATCTGAAATGGCACGACGACCAGTTCGAGCATATCCAAATACATATTGCAGCCAGGAGGTCGATGCGTGACAACGACGACGACGCCGCGATGACCAACCGCCACCTCTCCATAGGCCTCCGCGGAGCACAGCAGGCGGATCGTTTCGTTAAGGCGGAGGAGTCCATCGCCGAGCTGAAGACTACAGTCGCGTCATTCTCACCTGCCCCATCGATCACTTCGAGTCGATCTGCTGGATGGGAACCATATCAGGCACATGGCCATATCGTTGCGTGGGGCTCCCCATATGTACATTTATTCGCATGGACCTGTCCGCCGTCAGGGTCTAGACGCAAGAGCTTTCGAATCTAAGCGGGCTTGAATTGTGACGGTCTGGTCATTAATGTAACTTCGAGCGGATAGGAACGTGCATGAGTCTCGGTAGTTCGAGAACGTCTCTGCGCATGAGCCGGGGCCCCCCTGGGGCCTCTAGAAGCCTCCTGGGCCTTCTTGGGGCCTCCGGGAGCCTCTTGGGGCCTCCTGGGGCCTCTTGGGGTTGCGAGTGGCCTCTGGAGGCCTTTGGAGCCTCGCGTAGCCTCCTGGAGCTCCCTGGAGCCTCCTGGGACCTCCTAGGGAGGATTCGTGCCCCAGGAGAAGCTCGATTTATAGGAACAAACTTACATGCAAAATTGCGGATTGGAGCCGCAGGAGAAGGGCAGCCTATAGGAGCACACGTAAAACACCAAGGACTCGTGCCCCAGGGGAGGCCCAATCTATAGAACCAGACGTAAAACATTTTGGGTTGTGTACACAGGGGAAGGACAACATGTAGGCACATACGTTTCACATCGAGGATTTGTGCTCCAGGTGGGGCCCGATCTATAAGAGCATACGTACAACACATTGGATTGGAACCGCTCCTGTCGCCTTTCGTCTCCTGCTCCTGGGGCCTCTCGGTGCCTCCTGTTGCCTGGGCCTCCTGGCGCTTCCTGTGGCCTCCTGGGGCCTCCTGTTGTTTCCCGAGGTATCCTGGAACTTCCTGGGGCCTCCTGGAGCCTCTTGGGACATCCCGTGGCCTCTTGAATCTTCCTGTGGCCAAGAGATGCCTCCTGGGATTTCATGTGGCCTCCAGGGGACTCCTGAAGCCTGCCGGGGCCTCCTGTGGCATCCTGGGGAGAATGTGTGGCCACGGGTCTGGCCACCGAAACAGGCAAACAGTCGAGACATCCTCAAAATCTGGCCACCCCTTGGGGGGCGAAAGTGAGCGCCTCGCTCGAGGCATCCTCAACATCTGCTCCGAAAACAGAGGATGTTGGGGACCAAACCAGGCAAATCGCCTGAGACATCCCCAGCATTTGGGCGCGAACGGAGGCCGTGCAGTACCCCTGGCGGCCCCCCCGTAAGAGGCGCCTCGCACGAGACATCTTCAAAATCCGCTCCGAAAACCCAACGACGACCGCCCACCTGCGCTTCCAGAGGAAACCGACACATTCACCCATGAGTTGCAGTGCGAAGTGACCGCCAAGCTGAGGGCCCGACATGGGGTTCGACCCTCTGCTGAGCTGGTGGCCCCTCGGATCGTTCGCGCTTTTCCTCGAAGCAGCGCTGCCGCGCCTCAAAGTGCGCCTGGCCTGCGCCAGGATTCCCCTTTTTGTCGATTGCTTTTGCGTAAAAAAGCCCGTTTGCAAAGCATGGGCGCCTTCGGCGCGATTTCGGCAAAGCCGCGTGTCTTGCCAATTGTGGTGTGGGCCCGTGGGCGGAGATTGCGTCCGTCATTACTTCGCGTGCCCTATTGCCCTGCGCTTGCCCCATTCCGCCCCGCCCTTCCTCCCGTGTAGCTATCGCGCATGTGGCCTCAGTGGGCGTCTGTTTTGCACGCGCGAGTGCGTCGGCAGCCGTGAATTGCACGGCGTGTTCCTCGTGCGTGATTTTCTTTGCGCAACATTCATCGCGCTGCGTGCGCGAGAGTGGTGGGGGCCCACCTGCGCGCGAGCCTTGCTCTCTGCCCGTGCACGCCGCTTGGCCGAGAAGAGGCAGGCAGTCCGTCAGCTGCTGATCAGAGGGTGAATTGGGCGCGCTAAGGGGGGCGCGATCATCGTCAGCATCATTGCCACCATCATCATCATAACAACCATCCATCAGCATCACAACCACCAGCATCATCATCCTCTGGGTGGGATGGGGGGAGGGGAGGGGGGAGGGTGTGCGAGAGGGAGGCCCCCGCGGTCACAGTAATATGCGCGCCACCCAGGAAGCCCGCGCACTTAATTTCAATATCAGATGTTTGCCGATAATTTCCGCATGTGCGCAATGCTGCATTCTGAACCATCATCGCACCCCTGCTTGAACCTTCTCCCCCTTCTCGCCTGGGCAAGGTTCGAGGTTGCCACCGAGGGCAGTTTCCTGGGCCGTTCCCGTGGGCCTGCGAGAGGGCGTAGCGCCGCAGGCGTTGACTGGGCGGCGCCGGATCAGCCTCGCCGCGGCGAAGAAGCTCTAGCCTGGCAGGCGTAGGCGCAGCGTGCTCTCGGCGCGACGCAGTCCCGTGGGTCTGGGGCAGCGGGGAAGGGCGCAGGCCGCGTCGAGGCCATGTCGCCACCGAGCGACTGGAATCGCTGGCAGCGGTAACCGAAGGCTGACCCGGAGAGCCCAGCGGTAAACCAGGGCTGGTTCTCAAACCGCAGTGAGCATGCAACGCGTAGCGGGAGCATGCAACGCATGGCGGGGGCATGCTACCTAGCGGGAGCATTCAACGCACAGCGCCCCCGCCCCCAGCGCGCCCCTTGCGGCGTCGAGGAAATCCCGCGCCTGCCACGCCCTGCGAGCCTGCAGCGCATATCGCCCCCGCCCCCAGACGCACCCCCTTTGGCGTCGAGGGAATGTCGCGCCCGCTGCTCCCTGGGGGCCAGCAGCGCATGGCGCCCCCCCCTCCCCCCCCCGCGCGCGCCCCCCGCCCCGCCCCGCCCCCCCAGCGCGCCCCCTGTGGCGTCGAGGAAGTGCCGCGCCTGCCAAGCCCTGCGACCCTGCTACGCATGGCGCCCCCGCCCTCAGAGCACCCCCATGTGGCGTCGAGGAAACGCCGCGCCTTCCGCGCCCTGCGAGCGCGCAGCGCATGGCGCCCCCACCCCCGGGGCGCCCCCTGCGGCGTCGGGGGGGCGCCGCGCCTGCCGCGCCCTGCGAGCCTGCAACGCGTGGCGCCCTCGCCCCCAAAGCACCCCCTGTGGCGTCGAGAATATGCCGCGCCTGCGATGCCCTTGGCGACCGCGCGCGTGCGTCTTGGGTATGTGACGCAGTGCGCCTGTCGCGCCTGCCGCGCCCTGCGAATCTTGAGCGCGTGTGCTTCGCGCGTGTGCGTGCGCGCGGCTGCGTGTAGAACGCGCGTCTCATGCGCGCGCCGCGCGCGCGTTGCGCGCGGGCGAGGCGAGGGGGTGGGGGGCGGGGGGGGCGGGGGGGGGGGGGGGGGGGCGGGATGCGCGCGCGTGGGAGGAGACGCGGGTTGCGGACGCGGCATGGGGGGGGGGGGGGGGGGTGGGGGGGGGGGGGCATGAACCACTAAGCATGCGGGGGGCAAGAAACCCATCCTTTGGATGTGGGGAACAGGAGCCCCATCCTGTGGACATGGGGAAGAATCAGAAAGACTTGGCTGCGTTGGCAGGTCTGTCATTCTTCCAGGTGGGCGCCCCGATCCCGCGCTGGCATTTTTGCGGCGATCGGGCGCGCAATGGCATGGGGGCGGGCGTCGTGGCCCAGGGCGAGGGGGTCGCGCCCGCCTCTTCCGCGTGATAGCGGGGGGGGGCACCGCGGGAAGCGGGTTGCTGGCAGCGCATTGGGCATGCGCGCCGTGGGCTGCGCGCCGCCCGGGCCGCGGAGATTGCTCTGTGCCATTCGATGCGTCCCATGGCGATGTGCTCGGGCGAGGTCCGCCGCCGCGTGGCACAGTTCAGCTTTGAAGAACAGGCTCGAGTAAAGTTCAAGGGCGGCGCGCGCGTGGAGTTCGACGGGCGCGGCGTCGGGGCCGAGCGGGCCAGCCGCGAGCGTCCGCGCGTGATGCGCAGGCCTGAGAGCCTTGGCTGCCGCTTGCGCTGGAACCGTTGGCCCCGTCATTGTCGAGCGCGGCGACGGGGCCAACTTGGTTCTCGCGCAGCTCCCATGGGAGAAGAGCATGGCGAGGCCTGCGCCGCTGGCGAATTGATATGTCCGCCCTGCTGCGTCCGCAAGGATTGCCTCGCGCGTGCGATGGCAGCGGGGTCCGCCAAGCAATGCCTGGGGGCGCGGCCGAGGAACGGGCGAGGCCGCGTCCGCGCCCACTGCCGCAGGCTGGCCATGTCGCACGGCGTGGTGAGCCACGAGAGGGAGAAGTGGGCGGTCGTGAAGGCAGCGCGCGTGCAGGACAAGGCTCAAGCACGGCGCGGAAGCGGCGGGCGGCAGCTGGGGCGAAGGTAAGACGGCGCTCCCGTCCTCGATCAAGAGCACCGACCACGACCGCGTTGCCGAGTACGTCCGCGCGTGGGCGCGGCGTACTAGGCGCCGCGGAGCCGATGTCTTCGCTGCTGTGTGCTCAAAGAAGGTCAGGGCTTGATGGGGTCCATTTGTCGGGGGCCGCGGGCCCCGCGTGTCTCGGGGGCATGCAGGGCGCGATGTCATACTCAGCTACTGCGTAGAACCCGGCGCAGTTATTATAGAGAGCGGTTCTGAGCATTTCCCGCAGCGTGATCACGTGGCCACGGAGTGGACCGCCATTGTGAGACAAAGCGCGTTGGTTGTTGATTTCCAAGGCAGGCCAGGAGGGTGACGAGGATAATGAAGAGGCATAACTGGACGAGGGGGAGGAGGAGAAACAAGAGGATGAGGAAAAGGGGAATGAGGAAGAGGAAGGGAGAACACAAAACGCGGAGGTGGGCCGAGAACCCGCCATATCCATCCAGTCAGGGGCCGCCCTCGTTGCCTCCTCATGTGCCGCCCACCATTTACACGTCCTCCGACGGGGACTCCGAATCGGCGCCCGTCTGTTGAAAGTGAGGCTCACACGCTTAGGGGCCGAACAACAGACCACTCTGACGTTCGGCATCAGGAGCGAGTCTGGTCAGCGTCGGGGTCGGCTGGGTCCTTTCAGGTAGCGCCTGGGGCTTGGAAGGGTGACCTGATGCATTATGGCCCGGAGGCGACAGTTCCACGGCTGGTTGGGCAATGTTCGGGCGGCCCTAGTGGCACTCAAGAAATTCTTTTTGGGTTCCTCAGTGCTTCGGGGGCCTGGTTGCGAGGGTGGAAGGGGCGTCTGGCGCGGCTGCGGCGGGAACCGTCGCAGGTGATGCTGTGGGTTTTGGTCATCTCCGTCTCCAAGCTCGGCGTGGCCGCTCTGGTACTGTCGCAGGCCTCCCCCCCCCGCCCTTCGCCCCGCGACAGCCCCGTCCCCCCTCGCCCTCCTCGGTCCCTTCCTTTCCGCCTCCCTCTCGTTTCTTCTCTCTTCCACACTCGTTCCCTCCATCCCCCTTTCCTCCTCTTCCTCCTCCTCCTGGTTCTCTTCCTCCTCCCTCTCGTATCTTCTCTCCTCCACCCTTGCTCCATCCATCTCCTTTTCCTCAGATTCCTCCTCCTTTTCCTTTTCCTCCTACTCCTTGTCCTCCTCCTCCTCCTCCTCCTCCTCTTCCTCCTCCTCCTTCTCTTTCTCCTCCTTGTCGTTTTTCCATGTCAAGCTCCGCGTCCTCCTGTTTCTTTCTCCTGCTCCTATTCCTCCTCCTCCTCGTCCTCCTGTTCCTTCTCCTGCTCCTCCTCCTCCTCCTCCTCCTCCTCCTCCTCCTCCTCTTCCCTTTCCTCCTCCTCCTCCTTTTCCCCCTCGTCCTCTCTGTCTCCTCCTCGTCCTCCTCCTCCTCCTCCTGCTCCTGCTCCTCCTCCTCTTCCTCCTCCTTATCCTTCTTCGGGTTTCTGCTTCCAAAGTGCACGTGTAGTAGCACAGTGTTGCGGGCAGGGGCCTGCCAGTTTGATTGATTGATCTTCCTCCTCCCCCCTCCGAAGTGGTCTTGCAAGATCAGGCTTGCCAGCATCCATCGTTTGCGATGCCTTGCGTTCCCGCGGATGGAGGATTTGTTTTGCTGTTGTTGCCCATCACCTTTGAGCTCGCAGGCAAGACTGTGGTGCGCCCTGGAGATGGTTTATCATCGCGCCTCCTCTCTTTTCGCCTCGCACATGTGGTTCTCTGGCCCCACGAGGAGTGGGTGGACAGGAGGGAGTGACGAGGAGAAAGGAGGAAAGTACACAGGAGGGAGGCGTGGAATGCATCTCCCAAGCGGCCCCCTCCTGCTCTCATCCCCTTAGGGGTTCTTGCACTTAGGAGCTTCTATTTCGTATCCTTGGGTAGCTGGCTGGGTCCGCTGGGGCTTCGCCGCATGGACGCCCGTGGGAGCAGCGTGGGCGGCGTGGGTACCCCCACGTGCTGGCTGGGTCCGCAGAGTTTTCGCTTGGTTGAGGAGGATGGCGGCGGAGGAGGAGGAGGAGGAGGAGGAGGAGGAGG